TACATACAATATATGTTGAAAATGATGTAAATAATACCACTGCATTAAGTAAATAGAGTCCATTAAATTCACATCAATATGCATATAGATTACTTTTAAATCTGTTATTTGTCACTTGATATGCTAAATTAACTTAACATCAGTTTTTCTTTTACGTTAAAATATATAATAATAATACAAACAAATTGAAAGTAATATTAAACTCTCTATACTCACATTTTGTCTAATTAAAGTGGTGTTGCTCACAGTTTAATTAATTAAACTGTGGGGAGCGTTAATTTTACTAAATTACACTGTTTGAACGTCTGGTTGGAAATAGTCTGTTTTGTTATACATTGTTCACTGTTAATAATTAAAATTATTTTGAATTAATCTTTATAAAATCTTAACAATGCTGAATAAGCTTTTCTAAGCTCAACGTATTCAAGCTGTTTTAATAGTAAATTTGGTTGAATTATGTTCTGAGTCAACTTTTCGCTAAGTGAAAGCTCCTTTCATTCTAAAGTTTATTCAAATAAACTATTCTGAAAACAAATTTTACTAAATTCAACTTTTTTCAACGTATACTTTTCTAAAGTTATGCTGTTTTACGACAAATGTGATTGATTGATTTTGTCTCAATTAATCTGCTTTAAAGCAAACCATATGAATAAAATTGATTTCTTATATTTAAAGTCTTAAAATTGTTTATTCATTTCTTGCTTTCTGTACAGATATCTACTCAATTAAGTCAATTAAGCTTAGAGTAGGTTACCCAAAAGGGCATTGTAGGAGAAAAAGATAATTTTAGGCCGTAATTTAAAAACAGGTGTTTTAGAGTGTATCAAGTTGGAGGTTGAGAAAAAAGAGATTTTCACAAAAGCTTTTCTATTGCTCCTTCGGGGAAAATAACTTTACTCCCAAAATGCTCTGTAACCAGGCTGTTCTCGCCATCCAACTACAATCTCAAAATTGAGAATAATTTGAAAAGAAAAATGAGCTTTTCGTACTTCTTGTGAGGACTTCTCCATGTATGGAGTGTGTTTTTTAATTTATTTATTCTTATTCTCATCCTAACTCCAACAGACTAAGGGTGTATATTTTCGAATTGGACCAACATTAGTGTTTTGTTTTGTTTTGTTGCAATGGAGAAATGTGAAATTTAAAATTGGAAATGTTTTCTTTTTGTAATATAATATAAGAACCAAATTTTTCCACAAGTTCGGAGACTTTATAAAATTAAAACAACACAGCCAATAAATAAGTCTGTACGCTTCTATGTGGGATTAAATACTAAGATTTAAGGTATGAGTTAATTACCAAAATTAATTGTAATTAATTATTGGATTATAATTACAAGTTTTTCAAATTATGATCAATATTAGCAAGTCTGTAAATCATATGACTGATCATTAAATCTATTACGTGAAACCATTATGAAAAGCAATCAATTATAATTAATAGCAAAGCTCTCCCGCTTTTACCAGATTCAAACGGATTTTACGTACAGATAATGCTTCCTTTTTTATTGATTTTTATATTAACGATATGAGTTTTTTATTAATAAACTTTCAACTTTGTCCTTACTTATATTTTGCAAAATTAAATGTATGTCTTTGTTGTTCTTTGAATAAGTTTTAACTTCGTCTGAAGTCAATATTGATCAAGATTAATTATTCAGAAATCGTGAGATGCGGTCTGGTGTGATGTAGGTTTCAGAAAAACATTTTCTTTATCGTGCCAACGTTTCGATCTTTATTGAGATCATCTTCAGGGCTCAAAGTGTTTGTCTTCTGTGTAATTGTGCGTGTCGTGTTGAGAGGGCCCACGACACGCAAGAATGGCATAATTACACAGAAGACAAACACTTTGAGCCCTGAAGATGATCTCAATAAAGATCGAAACGTTGGCACGATAAAGAAAATGTTTTTCTGAAACCTACATCACACCAGACTGCATCTCACGATTTCTGAATTATTATCGATTAACGGTCACTAACCACCACAAATTGATCAAGATCATTTGAAGGATAAGTAAATCTAATTCTAATCTAATTAATCTAATTAATTAATTAATTAATTAGTAGTAGTTGCAGTAATACTGCCGAGATGCTGCTACTTCTCCATTATAAATGTATTTATTAGCGTGAATGTTTTGTGTAAATGGACGTGGACGTCGAAGAATATCGAGTACTCCACAAGCCCGTCAAAAGGAAATCAGTCTGACGGATGAATAAAATTCTGTACATAGTGTATGAATGTATTTATTAGCACGAATGGAAGGAAGTCGGTAGGATTATGACCTTTTTATTTAGTTGTAGGGGCAGGACATCAGCCGTGCACCTGTACTCTGAGCTCTGCCAACTGTAGATTAGGTAATCATTTTCTTAGCGTGAGTGGGTATTGTTAGTGAGTCTGTAAATATTGAAGCATTTTTAACAAACCACGTGTGGGATGATAGGAACGAGCAACAAAACACTCTTTTGTTTAGGTAGGAAACAAAATGAAAAGAAGAGTTATAGTGAATGAGATAGAGATAAAGTTGACATGAAACAAAGAAAAATGCGGGAAGCTTATATACGTGAGGTGCCGGCAATGTCCCTAGTAGTTAGCCGGCCGGGGAAAAAAATCAAATACAATGATCCAGTCGTTTAACAATTAATAAGCGTTACTCAATCCATATCAATTCGAACTACCTACCTTCGTAATAACATTTTTAAACTTTGTTATCTAAAACAATACTACATATAGGTCCATAAATATCGGGTATTTTTAGCGTCATAAAACAGTTGGTAGTTTTAGTTGACATCGTCATTGACATTTAAGGTCAGACAAGACCTACCTTCTCCTAGGAGGAAAAACCCGCCCATTTTGAGAACTTTTCTCAAAAACCCTTTAATCGATTTGAATTAAATGTTGTATGTATGTTTGTGAAATGTCAACAAAAGTTATGCTTTACAAAATTTTCATAAAATCAGTAAGAATAATTTTGTCTAGAGTTTGAAGTTTGAAAAAAAAAATGTGATTTTTCCTAAGTTTAAACTTTTTTCTCATAAAGTACACATTAATTTTATAGTTCTTAAACTATAACTATCTTCAATCATTTATGAATTCAGAAAATTCACTATACAATCAGTTAATAAAAGTCATAGAAATGTGTGCTTTTATGCACGAAAAAGTTATTTTTCGGGAGAGGCAAAACAATGAAAATCTCTTAATTCGCGCCGTAAAAATTTTCAGTGTACAATGAATCACGGGCACCCTACGATAGATATTAGTTAAGGTTTTTAGTTGAGATAAAAAAAGTCAGTTTCACGAGTGGGATTCGAATTCACGATCATCGGCTAGATACGCCGCTTCTCTACCACTTGAGCTATCGTGACCTAGATCCACTCGGACACTAACTTTCCATCTCCCGCTCGTGACACTGATTTTTTTATCTCAACTAAAAACCTTAATTAATTGAAAGATATTAGTTGGTCAAACGGACCATTAAAATTAGTGCATTTAATAAATTAAAATGAAGTACACTTCACTAAAGCTCTCCGTGGCCATTTCATTTGTCGTCGAGAATCCAATCCGATTACACGACATTTGAAAAATGGCAAAAAGGAGGGAAAACTCATAAGGTGGGGTTGAGATAGGAAGTTGATGTCCGAGTGGATCGAGGTCACGATAGCTCAAGTGGTAGAGCAGCGGCGTATCTAGCAGAAGATCGTGGGTTCGAATCCCGCTCGTGTCACTGACTTTTTTATCTGAACTAAAAACCTTAATTAATTGAAAGATATTAATTGGTGAAACGGACCACGAAAACTAAAGTAAATACTGATTATTGTACAGTAGACTATCACTGACAGCTTCTAGAGTTTTGTCTTTGTCGCGTTTGCTCGTAATAATTTCCATTGTCGGGTCCTTTTGTAACTGAACCGGTTAAATTCTGTTCTGAAACACTAAACAATTGAATTAACACATTAAAGCATGCAGCAATTTTTAGTTAAAAAACCGCTAAAATAGCCTGAAAATAGAGCACCAAAACTAAAAGTAGTTGGAGGATTCAAGTATATCTTACACTTCTTACATAAGCATTAATTAACTTAATTTCAATAATTTTAAAAAAATACTTTCACCACTCGGAAGGTTTATTTGCATATTAGATTAATTAAATGAAATTAGATGAAGAAAAGCAATTGAATAAATTCTTAAAGCAAAATACAATTTATTTAATTGTGTAACTAATTTGATTAAACTTGAAATTGATGATGGAGATTGTTTCAAATTTACAAGAGAACATGAGTCATTAATGGTAGCTATATGATATAATTATATAAAATAAAATGATGATGAATGAAAAATGTTGATTATTACAATTTATCATAATTAAAAGCTTTTAAAGCTCATTTTTGTCAAGTTTGTAATCATTTCCTTGAATCCTTGATTTTTATCGCAATCAAATCGTGAAAAATACGTTCTAAAGCACTAAAAAATTGATCTTTAATCGCGATAGGTATGTAGAGACCTTTTTTAGCCAAGGAACCGCCAAAAATCAAGAAAATCGAGCTTCAAAGCTTAAAGAATGTAAGAGGATTTGTACGGGAAAGCTGATAAGCTTGTACAGCGCTGGAGGGTTCTCAAAAGTATTCGAATAAATGATAAGTAAAACAAATTGGTGGTAACTTAAGACTTTCAAAAAGTGTTCATCGAAAAATAATTATTAGAAGAAAAGAAGTAAAACGAACATAAAAATGACCAAACTATTGATAATCATTAAATTTATTACTTCAGAAGCTATAAAAGGATAATTTTATTAACTGTTATAACATAATTCTAGCCTTCGAATGATTATTTGAAAATACCATTAGATGCAAAATTGCGAATAATGTTTTAAACGAATAAAACATTTTTTTAAAAATTATTTTATCTTCTCTGCCCTGAAGAAAACAAAATCATCCCATCGAGGTATTGAACATTTTTAGTCGACTATCATATGTTTTTATAACAATAACACTGGATAGTAACCTTCGAAATATATTTGTTTCAAGTTAACCGGCAGGTTATTTTCTTTTTGTCTTAGTTTTACAGTTTTATTAGTCTTTCATGGATTATGTGGCGGAAAAACTTTTCGGCGCGGACATTGTTGAGATGGCGACAGCCGTCCTCCCCCCAGGGGAATGCTGTGTCAATTTTATTGCTGTAAGTGGACAATATTAGATTTAAACCAAGTTTCAAGTTCCACCGACGGAATAAGGTAGCAAAAAGAAGTACAAAATAATGCGATAAATGAACACGTACATAACAAAATACAATAAGATGTTTATTCAATAAGTAATACAAATAGTAGGATGCTTTATAGTCAAAACATTTACATACAAATGCATTCTTTTGATCTTTTATAAAAAAAAAAGGCCAATAAAAATGTTAGAAGCGAAATCGGAACTTATAGGCTTTTATTTAGGTGTACAGTCTGGTTTGTCGATTTTCCTGAAATGACATCAAAAATACCTTAATTTATTAATTAGATTGTTTTATGTGAAAAAATGTGTTTTGTCATTTTTTCATAATCATCATAATGGGTTCGTTCCTTACCGATTTTATTTTGAATTTCAGGTAGATATTGCTGGTTTAAGAATTTAACAGTTTCTCTCGTTGCCCCAATTCATAAAGATCAACAAAATAAATTTTCAAAGCTTTTAAACACGGCATAATATTTTACAACAATTTTTCTAGAATATTTATTTTGTAATAGAAAAAATTATATTTTGATTTGATATACAAGGGTGCCCGCGGTAGCCGAAATTTATCGCAACTGACTCTCGATCGTGGGTTCAATTTCCACCGTCCCTCCTTGAATTTCTGATACAAAATCTATAATAGAAGATAAAAAATTGCTATGGGCGGCCGCTATGAGACCCAATCTTAATTATATATATNTATATATCCCATTTTGCGTGGCCGGTGAGTCAATTGACCACAGACTTTACTCCACAAGACATCTTACTCACAATTTATTGACAAAAATTTAATGCCACCCCATTTCCTTCCCTCCTAATGCTGTTTTTCTTTCTGACGGTCATTATGGCATATAATTTCCCAAATGACCTTATTACTTACAAAACCCTCTAACACCTCCCAAAAAAGAAGAAATTGCATATCTATACAATACTGTTTTTGAGATATTCTTTTCTTCTTTTAGCATGGAAGGATTAGAATATCCAATGTTATCTACAACAAAATAACCAACACATTCTACTTCCTCGGGTAAGCCAAAGGATTCGCTCAACTGTCCAACTGTGTCATCATGTCCTAGACATTATCTCTTTACTCCGGTTCCTGACATTCCATTTCGTTCACAAACGACCTTTGTAGAGTATACGATAAATAAAATAGGAAGACAATACGGCAATTCAGTCGAGCAACATTCATCCTGTTATTTCGTCCCTAAACATGCATCATCATTGCACACTGTTGGATTCTTGGTGCAAAAAAGGAACTCGGAGTAAAATTAGTCTTTAATTTTATTTCAATAACGTTTCCGTTGGAACGGAGACAAAATAGGAAACTTTATGGTGTCTATGCATGTAGATAAATAACTGACCTGAAATCAACCTACAAGATTTAAACTTTAAACGTCATGAAACGATGTGATAAAATTTTCCCACGTCCTCTTGGACAAGCGATCTAACAACTTGTCACTATCACACGAAAGACTCCTTATAACTCCATACTAAAACCAATATCGCCATTTGGACTAGTGGTCGGGATTCATTCAAACGCTCGAAACATCCTTCATATTCAAACTGCTCAAGAATTCTTCGAAAAAATTGTTGACACTAATTGTTAAAATGAAACCACACTTAAATAATTAAGTATTATTTTTGTCAACGAAGTGATATAAATACTTTTTATTATTAAAAAATACATAAAAAATCCTCATGAATTGGAAGGAACAAAACTTTAAAAGCAACAAAAATTGTTAAGCTATAAAACAATACCCGTTTGTTTCTTTCATTACATTATAAAATATCAACCTTTTTATGTAAGGTTTTGGTTGAAATGAAAAAACTAGTGTCAGGAGCGGTATTCAAACCCACGACCTTCGGCTCGATACGCCGCTCCTCTAACCACTTGAGCTATCGTGACTTCGGACATTGCTTTCCCGTAACTCGGTCGTCCTTAAAACGACAATGAGGATCTTTAGCGTCCGCATCTAGCCTATTCCGCTTTATCGGACGATTTGTTTCTCAAGATGAGAGCTGACGCACCTCCACATACGACAGAATGGTGATTCTGCCGCAGCGTTGGTGTAGAGGCAGCTCAGCCCCGAGGGGCACAGACAACCTCGCTTCCCGCTTGTCCATTCCGAGTGGTTGGGTCCGCATTAAGCATCGAAACGTATGCCGCCAGCAAAGGGCTACGTAAGCCGAAATATATCAGCCTGGTCGCCCGCGCGCTCCCTAGATAGAAGGTTACTCTATCTCCCAGAGTACTGGGGCTTCTCCAGCGTATAAACTACCGGATCCACTCCGGCCGCGGTTTTGTTTAAAGTGCCGCCAATCGAGCTCATTACCTACATCTGCGTGCAAAGCATACTCGAGTAGTAGCAACCGATTCACTACCCATTCCTATCCGCCACTACTCACGCATTCGAGGGACTTTTCGGCATAATCATAGCGTCCTCAACGCTTATACGCTGCCGTCCGATCCGGCGTATCCCGTGAGGCCGGGTATATAACGATGGTCATACTCAAGTTTCGTGCGAAGGTCACAGATAGAAGACAGCCTCTTCTCGAAGTTCCCGCCAGGGGCGTCACCACGAACCACTACGAGTCCATCCCCAGAGTAACAGGAGCCGAACCTTGAAAATATTTCTGTTAACCCGTAGTACAGATGGTTATGCACCCTCCCCCGTCTATGCAGACAGAATCTGCTACCCTAACCCTCTGATAGGGAAACCGCCGCCACATGCCGACCTGAGTACAGCTTGTGCTTTAGAGAGGTTGCCACGCCCTCAGGGCTACACCATTATTTTGTAGCCAAGGTTTGGGAGGGGTCACAGGGAAGAATGAAGGAACCGGGATTGAGAGAGGGACGAGGATGTGGACACGAAGTACACCTTTCTTGGGCCCCGAGTCTTAACCACATTGTACCACCCGTCGTCGTTGAAGTTCCACATTAAGTGGGCTACAATTCCCTGGGTGGTCGTGACTTCGGACACCAACTCCCATCTCCACCTACAACCTTTCGAATTTTCCCTACTTTTGCCATTTTTCAAATGTCCTGTAGTCAGGAATCGATTCTCGCCGACATATGAAGTAGCCACGGGGAGCTGTCAGTAAATTTATACTTCGTTTTACTTATTAAATCTATTATATTAGTGGTCTGATTGTTCAAGTTACTTCTTTCAATTAATCAACCTTTTTATGTAAGGTTTTGGTTGAAATAAAAAAACTAGCGTCATGAGCGGGATTTGGGAGTTGGTGGGTGGTGGTGGAGATGGGGAGTTGGTGTCCGAGCGGATCAAAGTCACGATAACTCTGGTGGTTAGGGCAGCGGTGTATTGAGCCGAAGGTCGTGAGTTCGAATCCCGCTCGTGACACTAGCTTTTGAATTTCAACCAAAACTTTATATAAAAAGGTTGATTAATTGAAAGAAGTAATTTGGTCAATCAGACCACTAAATGTAATTGATTATAAAATAATTTAATTAAAATCCGTTCTTAGATAAAAATCCTCACCAGCTTATCCATCCAAACCTGCTCCCTGACTAAAAATACATTGGCCGAGATTCTCCTAATCAATGATAATAATAGCAAAAGTATAAAAAACTCGAAAAGGAATTATGAAAGAAACTTTAGTGTCTATTTATGGAGCGCGACCAGTGGGTTGTTTCTAATCTCTATGTAACTATTGCTTTATTTAAAATCAATTTGCTGTAGCATTGTTTTAACCCCATAAGGAATATACTTTGTTTTAAAAATAATTGTTATATATGAAAAAGATTGTTATATATATGACTTATTTGATAAAAACGAAGAATTTGATGGAATACGAGAAGAAGAAGTGGGTTAGTTAGCAATAGTGTTTTTTTGAAGGTGGGTAGTTGTCATGGTGGCTTCAGTTAACATCAGCTGTAAGTGAATTTATGTAGGTTTAAAATTAATTGCAGAGTGGCTACTGCAATCAAGACTTTTTTATGATTACATAAGATTGAACAGTAGATCCAAAGTTAATTATATTTGTTTTGTTTTTCTTTTTTTAGATGACTACTTTTAACTATGCGTTATATTACACGTCGGTGCTTGTCTTTGCCTTCAGCTTATGGAACCTCCTCAACTACATACTGTACAACACATTAGGAAAATACTGTAAAGTGTTTTTAGACGGACTACACGGTCTGGAAATGTCCATAGCCGTGAACTGTCTCGTCGCCGGTTACGACATCGCCCGGATAAACTCAAAGGTCGAAGAACTCTTGCTACTTTTGTCCGCCGGTTTCTACGTCTACAGGTCGCGGAGGGTAGGTGGGTTCCTCAGAGAAAAATTCCTCGTGTGGACGTCCTTCTGCTGCCTGATGTACACTGTTTTCCGAGGAAGGGGGGCAAGCGTCGCTCTCACTCTTCTCTACGCACACGAGTCCTGCACGCCGTTATTGGTGATCTCTTCGGTCGTGAACGAAGCGAAGAAAGACGCATATATCTTCTGGGTGACTAGGTGGTCCGCAAGACTTTTTCTCGTCTACCAGAGAATACTGATCGCCGGTTTTGTCCTCCACACCATATCACACGAGGCAGAGCTTTTATTCCTTCTTGGCGAGGCTTTTCTAACTTTTCAATTCATTTTCGATACATCTTATCATGAATTGGAAGGAACAAAACTTTAAAACAACAAAAATTATTAAGCTATAAAACAATGAACGTTTGTTTCTTTCATTACATTATAAAATATATTTAATTAAAATCCTATCGTATATAAAAATTTTGCTTTTAAGTATCAAGTATCTATATTCCATCTCTGACTAGACCTTCTAATAAACAGATACTACATCGAAATAATAAAAACTCCGAATACAACACATGACAAACCGTAATTGAAATTGAAAAAACAAGTGGGTTAAATGATAATTTTCAACTTAAAAAAAGTTGACCCCGAAAGCGTAATTAAAACCAACCCGGAACATAACAATTTTCCGGAGAAGAAAGTCACGGCATGAAGGTTAATTTTCATAAACGGGGTGAACGCGAGTCCGCGGCTGTCGTGCACGCGCGGCGAGAAATTTGTCAGAAAATTAGTGAAAATACTTGTTCAAGAAGCGGTTATAAAATATAAAATAAAAATTGACCTAGTACAATTAGAAAAACAAAAATGACAGAAAAATCCTTGAATATTTTGACATTTCCCGTTTTTACCATAGCTTGAAAAACTTAATTTTCGACTTAGAAAATCCAATAATTTATTTAACTTCACTAGTTTTCGTGGTCCACTTGACCAATTAATATTGTTCAATTAATTAAGGTTTATTAGTTGAGATAAAGAAGTCAGTGTCACGAGCGGGATTCGAACCCACGACCTTCGGCTAAATATGCTGCTGCTCTACCACTAGAGCTATCGTGACCTCGCTCCCACTCGGGCACTATCTTCCATCTCAACCCCACCTTTTTGCCATTTTTCAAATGACGTGTAATCTATTTGATTCTCGGCGACTAATGAAATGGCCACGGAAAGATTTAGTGAAGGTATACTTCATTTTAATTTATTAAATTCACTAGTTTTAATGGTCCGCTTGACCAATTAACATCTTTCAATTAATTAAGGTTTTTAGTTGAGATACAAAAGTCAGTGTCACGTGCGGGATTCAAAAGGTGGGGGTTCAGATGGGAAGTTAGTGTCCGAGTGGATCTAGGACTCGATAGGTCAAGTGGTAGAGCAGCAGCGTATTTAGCCGAAGGTCGTGGGTTCGAATCCCCCTCGTGACAATGACTGTTTTATCTAAACTAAAAACCTTAACTAATGAAAGGCAACAAATGAAATGGTCACGGAGAGTTTTAGTGAAGATATACTTCATTTTATCTTATTAAATTCACTAATTTTCGTGGTCCGCTTGACCAATTAATATCTTTCAATTAATTAAGGTTTTTAGTAGAGATAAAAAAGTCAGTGTCACGTGCGGGATTCAAAAGGTGGGGGTTCAGATGGGAAGTTAGTGTCCGAGTGGATCGAAGTCACGATAGCTCAAGTGGTAGAGTCGCGGCGTATCTAGCCGAAGGTCGTGGGTTCGAATCCCACTCGTGACACTGACTTTTTTATCTCAACTAAAAACCTTAATTAATTGAAATTTATTTAACATTAAATTACGTGATTTTTGCTACAGTTTTAGGCATATTTTATAACGAAGAAAAAAATTGGCTACATTCGAAGACAACAGTAACAATAACAAGATAATATTTTGTATTATTATATATTTTGTTTTATACAAAACAGAAAGAAAATACATGCATTGCAAAATAAAAAAAAATCGTATAAAAAAGTTTTGAATTTCTTACAGAGATAGTTTTAAACAAATACATGCGTATGAATCATAGAAAAAAACCAAGTAAACCAAAAACTGCCACCATCACAGGCGAGATCGTAAAATTAAAAAAAAAAAAAAAAAACTTTGTGGTTTCTGCGCTGTTCGGAACTCATTCGTATGAATGAAATCTGGCTAAATCTAATTGTAACTTTTCTTTCCACACTATTTTATATTTGCAAGCACGCTCTAATAATCGAATCGTAAAATGATAACAATAAAGGCGAGAACAAGAATGAGCCTGAAGCCTTGCGTTCCGAACTTGTCGATCCTTTGGCTTTCCAAGTTCAAATTGTGAGATAGGAGGTTGGCCCAGGAATAGGAAGAACCGATAGGCGACAACATATACTCCATCCATCTAAAAATTTAAAACGATTGCGTTAACTTATTATCAAACAATAGCTTTATGGACAATATGTGCTAACAGTATGACGAAAATAACTTTTTGCATTCACAGTTTATCTAAACAGGTTTTTATTTTAATATTATTGCATTAATAAAATTTAGTACTTCACTTTTAAATCGTATAATAGTTGCAAACTACAAATGCAGATTATTAGTTAAAGATATGTCGACACGTTGATACATATTTAGATAAACGTGCATACAGATCAACTGATAAGAAGATTGTATATGAAAACTTACAAAAACGAAAAGACGAATTGAGTAAAATAAGACAAAAATGTTTAAAGTTCTTAAATGCAAACACTTAAATCGATAAAAGTCGTTTTTGAGCTGGATTCGACGGAGGATTTTTTCTTGCCGATGTCCGGTGGTCTTTTTAAAAATTCTTAACACCTGTGGAGTCTATTCAACTTCAACATATTTACAAACGACAGAATTTATTTTTTTATTCCTGCGTGTGACAACAACGTTTCGATTGTCTGACAATATTTGGAATATTCACTGTCAGAAAAATAAGATTGATTGGAATCAATGAAAATCCCTTCAAAAACACCGAGGGTTTATGTGACCTCTGCTGTTGCGAACCTTAAAAAAATTAAAAATTTAAAAAACTCCCCAAGCTTTTCATTTTATACCTTTGGTTCAAATTTATTTACAGAGCCTAAATTTATTACGTGCATTTGATAGAGTTTTTAAATCCCTGTAAAATTCCCTGTAAATCGTTGGAGTTTCTAAGTTTGAAACATTTTTGCGGTTTTCGATGAAAAATCGTAGACATTTTGGAAGACGAAACATGTTTAGAAAAAATACCCTTTGATTTTCGAAAAAAGTTGTATTCAGGGGTTTTTAAAGTGCAAAAAACGAAATATTCCTATTTTCTTTTCTAAAAAAATATTTGAACTGACTTTGGTACGTGGCTCATTGTAGTTAAAATACATTCACAATACAGTCAAAAAAACCACATTTAAACAAAAAATAAATTAGTGTAAAATTGACTATTTTTCGTGGTCAGCTTGACCAATTAATATCTTACAATTAATTAAGGTTTTAAGTTGAGATAAAAAAGTCAGTGTCAAGAGCGGGATTCGAACCCACGACCTTCGGCTTGATACGCCGCTACTCTACCACTTGAGCTATCGTGACCTCGATCCACTCGGACACTAACTTCCCATCTCAACCCCACCTTTCGAATTTGCCCTCCTTTTTGCCATTTTTCCAATGTCGTGTAATCTATTTGATTCTGGGCAACAAATGAGATGGGAAGTTAGTGTCTGAGTGGATCGAAGTCACGATAGCTCAAGTGGTAGAGTAGCGGCGTATCAAGCCGAAGGTCGTGTGTTCGAATCCCGCTCGTGACACTGAATTTTTTATCTCAACTTAAAACCTTAATTAATTAGTGTAAAATATTTATATTCTCGGATAATACATAGTCTAAGTAACTAATATTTTCGACTTAGTATCCAGAAAAGGTTTAATTAAAGTGTTCTCATGTCTACTGCCTCTCCTTGAAATATATCCATGGGATCAAGTGGATTCTGGTTTATTATTTAGCAAATAATAGATTCGTTTTTACACCTGAATCGTAAGGAGATTATTATTTTTATACATTGAACACCTACAATCTGTGATTTCTGTTAACCGGTCATTATAGCTTCTTCGTAATAAATTCAACAGTGCATTATTTTAATAATCACCCAGAACAGCAATTATTCCTCTGAAAACAGTTCTTACTTGATTACTTATTATGTAAGTGATATTTATAAATTGTTACCAACCTGGATTGCAAGGATCGCGGTTTGGCCTCGGAAAATGAGATAGACCAGCTCAGGTGGCACATTGTAGGAGTGCACTTACCGCTCCATAGGCTGGAAAAAAGGAAATGTTATTTTTCGGCGAGGGTCGAAGAAGGAAAAACACAACCTAACGTTTTCAACAGTACTTCAATGAAAAAAAACTTGGAACTCTAATACCTCAAAACTTCGGTTTATATATTTTTTAAAATTAAAGAATCGATTTAAACAAAAACCTCCATAATTGATATTGCTTACTTGGAATGGAAGCCAACTATTTTGAATCGAGCAGACCTGTTCCTCACGGGTGAGTAAAGTGCTCTGAATTGGATCCCTTTTGGTATGCGACATTCCGTCGAGTTCGTTTCCAAATCCAATTCGGACGAGGCCCTGTCGGTGCATCCCTCCCTGGAAGGCAGAGAAATCAGCTTTTTTTTTTAAATATAAAACAGGAAACGATTTCCATTTGGAATGGGGGTGTAAAAAAAGTGGAATTGAGGAAAAAATTCAACTCCAAAACTGTGTTTTGCACATTCCTTATAATATGGAGTAAGTTAACCAATAACCGTACATCATCAACACATGTTATGAAAATCAAATTTAAAATACTGATCTATAAAAAAAATTCAAATCTGCTCTGATTGCATGTTTAGAGTTGATAGTTGAAAACACAATTTTCTCTCATTGTGTTCATTATAATAATCACAATGGAAGGTATAGAAATTTAACGTTTAAGAAAAGGGTCGCTTAAGTAGGGTGAGATGTAAGTTAATCTGGGTAGCCATGACAACGAGCTCATTAAAAAGGTTGAATCCTCATTTCAGTTGAAAATGCTGTCACATTTTATTCTTCCACAAATTTACAGAGTGGGATTCAAAGACTATTATAACTGTTCAAATAAAGCTAGGAAGATCGCTTATAATTATTTCTATAAGTTTAAGTTTTGCTTTCTTACTAGTTAAATATTATTTGATGAATTGTGTATCGGGGTCGTTTAATTTTATTATGATTAAAAATTTCTTTGTTTCTTAGTTTCCATTATCCAACAAAAGTTCGGAATAAATATATTTTTAAAACCCTACAGACTCTTTTTCTGCGATATAAATTTCATGCCAATGTAAGAAATTTATGGTTGAAGACGTAATTAAAGGCTTTTAATATTTTAGACAGTGTAGCTTCCGCAGTTGAAATGTTCCACCCCGTCTGAAATAACATGACGCTGTGACAACAGTCTCGTTTATTTTTTAAACCCCTTTACAGTTGGCATGGGAAACTTCGTATTTTCTTTTCAAACCTATAGATCCGTCTTGTTCGGGATTGTCGAGTACGAATTTAGAAAAAACATCTCAAATCCTAACAGACTCCATCGAATTGATAAAAATTGATAAACCATCAAAGCTACAATACATGAAATTAACAGTTCGAAATATAAACATAGAGAAGGTTTTGAAAATACGTTTAAACCTGAAAAAATTGGAGATGAACCAAAATAAATTCGACCGTAGGTCCGATAGCCGAATCTGCCTTTCAAATTAAGTCCGACCCAGATCACGTAGGCACTATCGTTGAAGGAATAGGGAAAGCAAAAAAGCATGCATTACTAAATTCCAAAAACATAATATTGATCCATTAATAGCAATTATATTATTAGAAGAAAAACAGAAACTGAAACTTTTTTTAATAATCGTTTAATAAAGATAAACAGTAAAGATTTTTCATCCATTGTTAGTAACATATCCAAGGTTACCAACAGTAACGAAATTGTTTAAAAATCGATCATATTTAAGAAACGTACTTTTGATAACTATATATAATAGATAAAATTATGACATACGCCATGCACATAAACATGGTGAAAATTAGTTATCTGTAAAACTATGACTCACTAAAAGTCGAATGTTCTTATCGAATTAATAATATATAATCTCTATTATATTAAAGGTAATTTATACATGTACTGTAAAAACTAAAAATAATTGTTGATATTAAGAAATCATTCGGTACCAAAGTTTAATAGTAAAAAAAATGTTTATTCAAGAAGAACATGTTATAATTATAAATCGTACAGAAATTGTTTAAATAAATTCACCAGTTTTCGCGGTCCGCTTGACGAATTAATTAAGGTTTTTAGTTGAGATAAAAAAGTCAATGTCACGAGCGGGATTCGAGCCCACGACCTTCGGCTAGATACGCTGCTACTCTACCACCTTTTTTTTCAATTTTCCCTCCTTTTTGCCATTTTTCAAATGTCGTGTAATCTATTTGATTCTCGGCGACAATTGAAATGGCCACGGAAAGCTCTAGTGAAGATATACTTCATTTTAACTAGTTTTAAAGAATTTACTAGTTTTTGTGGTCCGCTTAGCCAATTAATATCTTTCAATTAATTAAGGTTTTAGTTGAGATGAAAAAATCAGTGTCACCAGCGGGAAATGAAAAGTTAGTGTCCGAGTGGATCGAGGTCACGATAGCTCAAGTGGTAGAGCAGCGGCGTATCTAGCCGATGATCGTGAGTTCGAATCCCACTCGTGACACTGACTTTTTTTATCTCAACTAAAAACCTTAACTAATACCTATCGTAGGGTGCCCGTGATTCATTGTACACTGAAAATTTTTACGGCGCGAATTAAGAGTTTTTCATTGTTTTGCCTCTCCCGAAAAATAACTTTTTCGTGCATAAAATTGCACATTTCTCTGACTTGTATTAACTGATTGTATAGTGAATTTTCTGAATTGATAAATGATTGAGGATGGTTGTAGTTTAGGAATTATAAAAATAATGTTTATTTATTATGTTGTTAATGTATCGCGGTCCGCTTGACCAATTAATTAAGGCTTTTAGTTGAGATAAAAAAGTCAATGTCACGAGCAGGATTCGAACCCAGGACCTTCGGCTAGATACACTGCTACTCTACCACCTGACTTCGAGCCACTCGGACACTAACTTCCATTCTCAACCCCTCCTTTATTTTTAAATTTGCCCTCCTTTTTGCCATTTTTCAAATGTCGTGTAATCAATCTATTTGATTCTCGGCGACAATTGAAATGGCCACGGAGAGCTCTAGTGAAGATATACTTCATTTTAACTAGTTTTAAAAACTACTTCAATTCACTAGTTTTCGCGGTCCGCTTGACCAATTAATTTCTTTCAATTAATCGAGTTCAATTCAATTCAATTAAAAGTGGATCAAAGTCACGATAGCACAGGTGGTGGGGTAGCGGAGTATCTAGCCGAAGGTCGTGGGTTCGAATCCCGCTCGTGACATTGTCTTTTTTTATCTCAATTAAAAACCTTAATTAATTGTTTAAATAAATTAAAAAAAATATATGAACCATAGTACATAGCAGTACTAAGGTTAAGGTCCCGGGTTCGAAAGCAGGGCCACAGCATTCTAACCCGACACTTACAAACGGGCTTTTTTTCAAAAACACCGGCACCCTGAGGGTTTATTTGACCTCTGCTGTTGCGAACTCTCGTANTAGAGAGAGAGAGAGAGAGAGAGAGAGAGAGAGAGAGAGGGAGAGAGAGAGAGCTAGCTAATAATGCTACTTATTAACTGGCTGTATGGAAACAGTTTCGAGTGATTTTTCATCTTCCATTAAGAAAATCGTAAAAGTAATACTTCTTTACCAATATAAATAAAAAGGGTTGGCAGCACTCAATTTGTAGAAATGCATACTACCATAGCACGGAACTGATGAAGTAGCATAAAAATACATTTCACAAATGGGGAAATAAACAAAACTAAAGGTGCCAGGCATATTAAACGTACGATTAAAAACCGTCATCAAAACTGTCAAATGTTTTAAAATTGCTTCAGTTAATCAGAGTAAAATATAGGGGCGTGATTGGGCTCTATGTCTATCTATGACCGCACTGGCATCGAGAAAACATCTAAACAACATGGTATTTTCAACAGTGAATCTATTTGTAATTTATGGACTTAGGATGAAGAGCTGCCAATCATATTATTTTCGAAAGCGAAGCAAATTCTCAATGGAACTACGGTACGAAGAAGACGAGGGAAAAGCATAATAGCAATGACCCATTACTTTTAAAAAGAAAGTGTGAGTTTTCATTAGTTGCAATAGTATCTTTACAATAATAAACATAATAAAATTTATAAAACTAAAACGGTATAGCTGTAATTGTGCTTTATTGAAGTATATGAATTATTCTCCATTGAAAATATATATACCTAAAATTGTAACGTCTTATTAAGTGAGTTGGAAATGAAAAATAGTTGAAGTAGAAAAGAAGAAACTAACGAAGAAAGCGAGAACGAGAACGAGAGCGAGAGCGAGAGAGAGAGAGAGAGAGAGAGAGAGAGAGCGAGAGAGAGAGAGAGGGAGAGAGAGAGAGAGAGAAAAGCAAGAACGTAAAAAGAAGCTATTATTTTTGTATGTTGTAACTTATTCGTTTTTCTCCAGGTATAGTTTCAGGAGGATACGCATACTATTTCCTTACGCAATCTAAAAAACGCCCCGAATGTAATAAGACGATCGAAATTACATTGTCGTAAAAAGAGAGTGCGCATATAACAGGGGCGGCAGGGTTATGCTGAAATGCAATCTTGACGACAGAGACAAATGCGCCAGCATATGAGCACATCCGTCAGAAAAGCTATCAAGGTAATATCCTATGGAAATTTACAAAATCCCTTTTACGTTTTAAGATACACCTGATATACCTGTACGCCATCGACATGATCGTATTTTAATGATGATCCATGATATTTTTTAACTTTTACTTAAGTTGTACGCTTTTAACAAAGAACTAAAAAAATAGTAACTTTTGTGTGCCGTGGGCGCTTGCAGTTAGGAGAAGTGGAATAAAAGCGTAAAGACAACTCGGTTAAACTAGAAAAAAAAGGCCCCGGGTGATTGAACACGCCGTTAAAGTCGTTTATTCCTAAATTGAAGTTTGCCTCGGTGTTTGTTCCGGTCGCACAAGATGAAAAGTTGGAAAGTTAGCGAACTAACTTGTACATTTACCACTCCGTAGTTGTAATGTGTCCCGCGGCGCTGGATTTTTGACAAAAAGCGTTTTGCTTTATCTTTATCTTCTTTATGTTTTATTTTATCTTAATATATATTCTTCAGAAGGAGAGAAAGAGTTTGAGAGGGAGACGTTTGTAACGTCTTATTATGTGAGTTGGAAATGAAAAAGAGTGATGTAGGAATGAAGAAAGCAACGAAGAGAGCGCGAGCGCGATAGAGAGAAAGAGTGAGAGAGAGAGAGAGCGAGAGCGCGAGAGAGAGAAAGAGAGAGAGAGAGAGAGAGAGAGAGAGAGAGAGAGAGAGAAACAGAGGGAGACATTGATTAATTAAGCAAACATTGTATTTAAACACCGAAAGTAAGGTTCTCGTGGACCTTTCTTCCACTTAACGTGAGTAATGTTGTACAT